GCCATGTTGAAAACGGCGAGCACGCGGAGGATGAGGAAGGTCTTAATGAGGCTGAAAAGGCAATGATGGGTGAGTTTTCCGTACCCTACGATTGGTTAAACTTTGACATGAATTGTGATTTCACTTTCCAGAATTGAGTAGGAAGGTGGATAGGTGTAATGAATACAGAAAGATTTGAATGAGTTGCCTTTAAGGCTGCCAAAAGACGCCATGAAGAAGATGAGAATGCGAAGCTGGTGAGCTACGAGGAGAGGAGAAAGAAGGAACGAGAGGCTGAAGAAGAGGAATTGAGGAAGCTAAAAGAGAAACAAGAGCGTCGACGAATAGAGCGTGAACAGGAGGAGTTGGAGCAGGCTGAAAAGAAACGGAAGGATGAGGAACGCCGAAAAGAGGAGGAGGTAAGCCCTTTAAAACCTAGTCAAAATAGTCTACCAAAACTCTGCAATCCAGCCCTCTGAGAACTCATATGAGGCCGTTCGGCATTTCAGGAGCGCGCCGTGCTCGACAGGAAGAGGAGAAGAGAAAGAAGGAAGAGGAAAAGAGTAAACGTCAGCAAATGAGCGGTGCCAGCTTTGTAGCAGCACAAGGTGGAAGGTATGGTTGTCTGAAAATACATCCTATCACCTAAGTCATCGACTTGGCAACCGGTTTTTCCAGAAATTTCATCATTCCAACAAAGACCGAGAAAAACGACAAGTTCGGTAATATTGTGCAAGCAAAGCAGGAAATGGGTATGACAAAAGAGCAACAGGAGGAAGCGAAGAAGGTCTGTGTAGTCAAGAAGGGTCAAAATGTCTCAGGTGTACTCCTAGTCCAAGCCAGCGGTCAACCGCTTGGCTACTGCATGGAAATGTTCCTCACAAGGGGGGAGGTCCTAGGTTTTTCAGGGCAGGTTGCGCGTTCTCAAAACGGTTTCTTGCATATTGTAGGGACGCATGCATGGACCCCAACAACGCAACCCACCCTTTTCGTTGTCATAAACGGTTTACTTATTAAAAAAATGTCAAAACAGCCGTACAGTATATGTTAATGGTTCGACACCCGGTGGCGTCAAAATTTGTTGGGGTCTAAAGGCGAGCTATCTTGTTGACCTCAACATGGTCCTATCTATGAATGTGACATCTGATTTTGACATTTAGCGCCATTTGGCACCAACTCGTAGGCGCCAACCTAAAATGCAAAATTTAGTCGCCATTGGGGATCGAACCAGCAACAATTATCGTTCATAACTTTTCTGTACAAATAAAACCGTCCAGCGAAAACGGAACGCGGTTTGTGTTCGACACATGGCCCCTAATGTGCAAAAAACTGCTCTGAAAAAAACCCTTCTCGTCAATAATCTCTCTCAACCGGAATTGACATCGACCAGTTTCTCTTCATGCGCATTTACCGGTTGCGGTTTGTGTGCCAGTAAACGGGTGGCTTTTAGCCGTAAATCACATAAAGATGACGATTGGATAGTCGAAGTTAGATGGGAAATGTGTACTTTAGGAAATACTTAGAGCATCCGGATTCTAGAGGCGCGATATTTTCATTCCACCTACCGTACCCCTTGTAGAGTTCTGAGTTATCATTTGGCCTTACTAGTTTTTAGAGCACCTAATCCGATTGATGGAACTTTTTGTGGTGTACATAACTCCCATATATGAATAAATCTTTTTCATTCAGGCCTTCATGATCGGAATTCGTCAGTCGATCCCGGAAGCGTCCGCAATTTCAGCGTCTGACCTGAAAGCAAAAATCAAAGAACTTCATCAGAGAATCTGCAAACTCGAAACGGACAAGTACGACTTGGAGAAACGTCATGAGCGACAGGAGTACGATGTAGGTCCCGTACATCCCACTCATACAATCGATGATGATATCTCCTTTTTTCGCAGGAAATTTTCACCTGGCAATTTAATCTACCCTCCATTTCTAGCCCTCCCAATCAGCTGTCTGTCTCTTCTTTCCGACCTCTTGTACTGAACCTATACCTACAAACCTTTAATCTCTGCTATCAAATGTATTATATCCTCCTCTTATCTCTTGTTCGTAATGGATCCCGCAGAATTCTGAATCTCTCCACTTAGGAGGATTCACGATTAGAATGAAGGTCGAAGAAAGGGAAACTTACCTAGTTGAGGGACCCACGGACCTCCTGAGGGTGCGAACTGACGCGCAATTCGCATGGAAAAATTTGACCTCGGCGACCTATCATGCCTCAAAGCTGGCGGGTCCGGCGATCTCCGCCCACCGATCATCTGATCACTCGCCGTAGTTCAATACGTGGCGAGTGATTAGATAGCTGAGAGAGCGTAGTGTTGAAGAGGGCACAGCGATGAGAGTCGCATCAATGCTCAAATCAACGGGCAAGGAAGGGGTACCATTTCTCGGGTTCTGGGCCGTTTCTCATGGTTCTTCCTTCTTTCGTGTACCACTCACCATCCCTAGGTTAATTTGAAATGGGTTGCTTTTTCATCGTGAATTCGTCCTTTAAGCAAATGTAAAGATAGCTCAACAAATTACTGATGTACTTAAATATAATTTCGAGATACTATCAGTGTCTATTGTGTTGACACCCTCTACTCCAATATCCTTCCGCTGTTCTTTTTTCTCATGGACTCCCTGGTCCACAGCATTGCCATTCCCTGACTCAGGCACGATGTAGCAGTCCACAAAAATATTGTACCCGGCTGCCAACACCAGTCAGGGTCGACCGTTTTTCGATGATTTACCAACGAGTGGGATGGATTTGTGAGTCTTGGAAGCCTATCGAACATTTCTGTAAGAGAGAGATCGTAATAAGGGTAATTATGCTATCCAGGAACTTCGTTCAAGTTCCACTTTCTCTCAACGTGACGGCGGTTAATCCCGCTTTCAGTATTTTCTACGGAGTATGCACCTGTTTGGCGATTCGCACTCTAATTTCCATAAAAGCCATTTCCCCATTCTGAGAGTTCCATACATCTCCACCGATCTTTATTTCCTGCTTTTGTTTATCGAATCGTGGCGATGAACTGATTCGAAGCTTTTCAGCTGAAAGAATTGAATGAACGATCGCGACAAGTGGCAAGAAATGCTAGCGGTGGCAAAAAGGGCGACGTGGACGGCGATGGACGTTTCCCGGTACATGAGTTATTTTTATTGATCCCTTTCTTATTTATGGACCAAATAAAATTGAGAATTGATATCGATCAAACAAAAATGCTGCTTAACAACGGTGTATGATTTAGCCGAAGGTGCAAGTGGTATCGAAATATGACCGGCAAATTGATCGACGAAACTTCAAAGAGAGACGATCGGTGTACGAAAACGTAAGACATTTTCTGATTCTACTGTTCTTCTTAATCATATACTATTTTTATTACTTATAAGCTCTCCAGAAAAAAAGTCGGGAATAAATTCCTCTCTTCAGAAAAACGCCTTCCCCTGCTTCCCTGGTGTTCCACCACCACCTGCCCTCTTCGAGAAGATTTTCAAGAAGTATGAATATGAGATCAGAGAAGAGGAAGATGTAAGAGCAACCATTAGTCCGACGATATTTGTAGAGCAGTGCAGGCCTACTCATTGTGATGTTCATATATACAAAGAGTTTTTCTTTTCAGGCTGCAGAACAAGCCGAGTACGAAGCACAAGAGTACGAGGCAGATGATTAAAGCCATCAAGATTAATTCAAAATGTTATCAGTTTAGCTATAAAACGTTTACTGTCATGTGCTATGTATGGATAAACATCACTCATACGCGTAGTGATCCAGTTGAATTAAGAAAGAAAAACCATTATAAACAAAATAATAGATACGGTTCGTTTCGCTCCTTCCTCAGACGAACCTTATTATTTCGTCAATCCCCGGAGCTCATCAGTGAGTTGGGATTGGCGAAATAAAGACACAGGGGAAAGACGAATAAACCTTGATGTGACGTACTTTC